AGAACCACATTAGATCACTGGAAGCAAAGACAGAGAAAATGATTAATCACTCAATATCTTGAGCAACTAAGACACAGGTTTAGGTATTAAGGATCTTAGAACATATCCCCCCAAAATGGAAACTTAACAGCGGTAAAGGTTCTACAAGGAAGTTATTTTCTAAAATAATTGTACAGAAAATGGTTTTATAAGATCAGAAGTGGAAGTGAAGAGTTTGGGCTCCAATTCATGAAGATATTCACTGCAGATTTTCTGGGCATCCTGCACTACACACTGCAAGGCACGTGAATTAACCTGCAGTTATCTTTAACAGAACGGTGTGCTTCATTTTTGCTTTGAAAGGAAAGCATTTGGAGTAACTCTGAAAATTTAGCGCAAAAAACTAATACAGGAAAGTAATGGTGATCAGTTACCCTCTTAAAAATAGTCTTTGGCTTCCCATATTAAAGAGCTCAGGTATATGAAAGATGCAAAATACTCCAAAAGACTGAGTTTGTCATAAAACTAGTTTTCATAGTTATAGTCTTACAACCTCAAATAAATATGCACAGAGCAGTTTCTGATAATTCTGTGAGGGGCAATACATACTGATCATTTGGAAGTTAAAAAATAATGTTTTGACTTTAATCTTTAAAGTTCATTTGAAGCACATTTGGTTGGTTTTTAAGTTCTGGTTTTATGCGTTTGACAGGAAACGCAAGCAAAAAGAAAACACAAATTTTTCATGGTTTCTCATTTCAGCTTTACACCCCGGCTGTGTTGTGCCAGTCAGTGCTGGGTGAGAAATGATTCTTGCTTTCTAAATGATGCACCAAAGCTGCAGACAGTTGAGTGTTTGTAAGTGTTCTGTTAGTTTCTACACTTGAAATAGGGCAGAGCACCAAAGAAGGAAACCCTACAATGGAATGGAAATGATAGCAAGACTCAGGCATCCTGGGCTAAGGTAAAGGAATTTGCCTCCTCGTTTCACTGCATATTTCATGCATAAAATAAGTAACTCTAACTAGAAATCAAGCCATTTACCTATTGTCACTAATTCAAAAGGGGAGTAATATACCAGGAAGCTATTCTACTGGCAGAAATACTAAATAACAAAGAAAAATTAGCTCCATTTTACTATTCCTCTATTGACTTACGAGAATAAGTTATCCCCTTAAGGGTATATTTTAACATCTAAGTTAATAAACAATTTCAAACAGTATATTCATAAACTTCTAAGGGTTCCATGAAATAAGTCTATACAGAGTTAACAATTGCTTAAAATAGTGTCTGATTTTAATTGATTATATTCTTCATAAATTAATTGGAGCAATAAACACGTCAAAAGAAGTTGCTCCATTTGATCCAAAATTTAAGAAATGCTCCTCAAAATGAGATATTATTTTTAAGCTATGAAATTGTTTTAACAGTTTGACAAAACACGGTTCCACTAAGGATTTCTGGAAAACAGTCTCTTTTCTACACAGTGGATGGGACTATAAGTTGGTCCAACATTTCAGAAGGGCAATTTGGCAACATTTGACTAAACTAAATCACACGTTGCTTTTGAGCCAACAATCCCTTGTTTGGGAATTTATCCCATGGATATTTGCTTGCTATATGCACAAGCAAGGTCATTGCAGCATTTTTATAGTAAAAACAAAAGGAAATAACCTAACTGCTTGTCAATGAGATAATTAATTTAATTACCTTCATTTATACCATGGAATACCATATGGCCATTAAAAATAATGCTGATGTGGAAAGAGTTTTAGATGAATTATTAAGGGAAAAAGCAAAGTGGAAAACTGCCCAAATGAGTGGTATGAGTCCATTTGTTTAAGAAAGTGGAGTGGTGATATACACATAAATGCTTATATATGCAGAAGAAAATTCTTCAGGATAAAGATGCTGTTACTGAGTCTACCGACAGGGTGGGACTAGAGGTCAGGAATGGAGGAAGATTTTTATTTTACGTCTTTCTTTACAGCTTGAAATTTTTATCCAAACATGAATTGTGTTTATAATTTTTAAATTAATGGCACCTAATTACCAATTACAGAAACTGTTGGACTCATGGATATTTGAAATTTACAAATCAAATTTTAAATTGCTTTTCTTCCCTCTAACTATACCCTTACTCATATAAAAAGAAAAATGCATTTTATCAGAGTAAATAAATAAAGGCAAAGTTTTGATCTCTGTTCCTCCTATCCCTTCATACACTTTCTGATAGGGCTGTACAGAAGTAATAAAGTTCTTGTCTTCAACAAGTAGCCTTGCTAGAGAATACATGAGGAAGGGGTTGAAAATGCACGTTTATTGAGAACACACCTACTATGTTGCCAAGAATTGAACCAGAGTCTTAGAATCCAAATGATTCACAAAACAAAGGCTTTGGAAAATTAAGATGATTAGAACAAATTACGAAGAGTTGGCTATAACTTTTTATAAAGTAGTTTGTGCCCATTGGTGGGTGGAACAAGAAGGATGTTTAGGCATTTTTTACAAAATTGATGCAAGGGCCATGAGTTGGAGGGAAGGAAGGGGAGGCAAATAGACGACTATGGGTCTAAAACAGTATGATCTGAAGGACCTTGAAGTGCTGGTTAAAAATACAGGTTGCCAGCGCTGGCCCTGTGGCCCAGTGGTTGAGTTCACGTGCTCTGCTTCGCTGGCCTAGGGTTTCGCAGGTGTGGACACAGCACTGCTCATCAGGCCATGCTGAGGCAGTGTCCCACATAGCACAACCAGAAGGACCTACAACTACAATATACAACCATGTACTGGGGGGCTTTGGGAAGAAGAAGAAGAAAAGAAAAAAAGAAGAAGAAGATTGGCAACAGCTGTTAGCTCAGGTGCCAATTAAAAAAATGCAGGTTTCCAGGGCCCAATCCCAGTGTACTGAATCAGACTTTCTAGAGCTGTGGCCTGAGAATCTGCATTTAAGTCAAATTGTCCCAGTGATCTTTATGCACACTAAAGCTTGAGAGGCTCTGCTCTGAGATAATTCAGATCCTGGAGACTAAGTCCTATCTGGAGTCAGAGATAATCTCATATTTGTTTTCTCCTTAGATTTCTAGGAAGGTAGTAGGGGCCCATATTAAGCAGTGCACCAGATGTTAGTGGGTAAATTCATGGTGAAGAAATTGAGAAACGATTAAGTCATGTTAAGAAAACAATTGGAGACCGGCCCCGTGGCTGAGTGGTTGGGTTCATGCGCTCCACTTCGGGGCCCAGGGTTTCGCCAGTTCAGATCCTGGGCGCCGACATGGCACCGCTCATCAGGCCATGCTGAGGCAGCATCTCACATGCCACAACCAGAGGGACCTACAGCTAGAATATACAACTATGTACTGGGGGGTTTGGGGGAGAAGAAGAAGAAGAAGAAGGAAAAAGAAAACAATTGGATGGGAAATTCAGAATTTCTAAAGAAGACAGTAAAAAAAAACCCAATATTGCAACAATGTGTAAGAGCAAAGACAAAATTAAATTAGACCTAAAGCACAGATTAAGTTTGTGAGAAAGCTCGAGTACACAGTTTTGCACTTCATCTATTACAGTATAGCAACTGAGCATATATCGTCTTTTGATTTTACTTACTATAACTTTTGATTATAGATAATTTTATTGATAAAACAAAGATCCTCAAAATACTTGAAAGACAGTTGTAAATAAGCTCCTAAAGTGTGGAGAGTGTGTGATCTCCCTGTGGAGTCTAGGATATTTTAGACAATAATGAGGATAAGTATAAATCCATATTTATGATTGCCAAACATAAATTGAATTATATTTACTTCAATGGGCTTTTATTGACTACTTATTGTGTGTATTACCTTGCAATGTACCAAAGCATATTAGAGAAGGGAGGCTGCATATAAGACAGTCTCCCCCCTCAAAGGGCTTAGAGGCTTGTGATGGGGGCTCATCTATAGACTAACTATAATAAAAGTCAAGATGACAGATTCCAAGTCAAAATACAGCAGGTAGTGAATCCAAGCTACAGGAGTTTTAAAGAGTGTTATTTCTGTATCAGAAGTGGGGCTAAGGGAAAGCAGAGCAAATCAGTCAAATCTATTCTGGTGACAGATCTTGTACCCAGACTTCACTCCTCCCAAGCAGACAAAGGCAGGCTTCACAGATGAGCCCTAGGTAGAGAGGAACGCAGGAAGATGAGGATGTGGGAAGAGGAAGAGTGAGTAGGAGAACATTTTTGTAAAGTTGTGATAGAGGGTAAATGCTTGATGGCACTGATCCTGGTCCACTACATGGACGGAAAACTAAATACTCAAACTGATATTAATTGAATTGTTATTATTGTTGTGATTATATTGAACAATATGTCTATAAGAATAACAGAAATCAGCAAAACTCCTAAGAAGTTGATGTCCTAAAATGGAAAGAGAGCCCTATGCATTTCCAAGTTCAACACACTTTGACAGTCTTATTTTTAAAAATCCAGATGCAACAGAAGTGATATTCTCTGATGGATTTCCAATAAGGCAAATGAGATACAGCGATTAAAATTTAGAAATATAAGAAAAGAAGGGCGCTTTCTACTTCTTTCTTTGCTTCTTTGGACAGATGCTGTGAACCAATTCAAGAATTCTCTGTGGAGATAGTGTATACCAATTATGCTTCCAAGATTTTATTTTGCTTTATTTCATGATTACTTTCACCTTGTTGAATTTATGTTTGAATAATTGAGGCTCTATTAAAAGCATTTTCCTTAAACTGTTGGTATTCTGTTGGTATTCATTTGCAATTGGCTTTTTCTTATGTGGATAGAAAAAATATCCAAATGAGCAAAATTATTATACTATATATCACATATAATATATATTATATATCCCTCATTTAATTGTCTGTTCGTTTAAATATATATGCTATCTTCTTTCTGGGAAGAACTCAAGGACTTAAATTAATCCTCTTAATTGTAGATCCAACGTTTCCAGTGCCTTTGGAATCACATAGATTATGTGGCACAGCACCTGCCTCACGTTTTCAACATTTCATTTGACTCCCTTAGCTGTTCCTCTCGAGGAAAATGTCTTCCTTGGAAAACTGTCATGTGTTTTTAACCAATTCCAATAGAGCTTCGACCCATGCTCCCTCTTTGTGTCTGTGGGCACAGCAGTGGTTCCCAGACTCTGGGGGACTTTCTACTGAACTGGACCCCAGACAGACTCCGGCTGCGAGATTCAGGAGGCGGCCTATCTGGGGGCCGGCCGCCCAGCCCCTTGGAAGAGAGCAGGTTGAGCCTGCGAGAACAGGCAGCAGTGCCCGCGTCGCGGCCTCCGCAGGACGGACTCGAGCATCCTCGCCCGCTCGGTTTCAGGAGGCCCGGAGCCCCGCTGCGCCCTGGAGAGCCTCCAGCGTCTCTCGGCCTGGAGGCCCGGGGCAGCCGCTGCTCCCGCGCCAGGAGCCACAGGCGCTCTGCCGGCTTGATGCGCAGCGCTGGGTGGAAAAGCGGACGCCGGGGCTGCGGCTGCTGGGCCTGGTTTTCGCTCGCGCGCAGGAGGCGGCAGCCCTGGACCGAGGGCGCGAGCACCCGCCCGGCTGCCGGGCGAGCGCTGTCGGGCCTCGGCCAAGTGGGGCTCTGCAGAGGGGCTTAGCGCAGCAGAGCGGAGCCAGCCTCAGCCCGCTTCCAGCCTTACGGACCTTCTTGGTGGCCAGGGCCCGGGGAGAGAGCCCGAGAAGGGAGGGCTCTCCGCGCCCTCCCGGCGTCGCGCTGATTCCCCGTGTGCTGGGGCCGGGGCCGGGGTCGGAGGGACCTGCTTGACCTCAGCCCTAAGCGATCCGTCATCTGCAAACGCCGCTCTCGGGGGTCCCTGGCGCCGGCCCCTGGCTCTGGTAGTAGACACAACCCAGCTCTCTTCCTGCCCCCAGGCCCTGCTGTTTCAAGAATTGTAGGGACAAAATGTGCACCAGCGTAATGCGGGCCGGGGCATCCCGGGGAAGTCGTGGAGGAGGCAGGAACGCGCCGCACGGATGCGGGCACGTCTGTCTCCTCCCCTAGGGTCTCCCCAGCTTTACTGATCGCAGGGGTGGGGTAGAGGTCTATTTCAGTCTCCCAGATTTACTCTGAAACCGAGTCTCTTGGGAGTGAAGGTCCATATGATTATATCAAGTCCATAGCAGTCACGCTGTGTCCAAAATGGGCACGGGCACTCACGGCGCAGCCACTGAATTCCCCAGAGACGCAGTCTCTCGGGCCTGGGGCTTATTCTTGTTTTCTCAATGGACCGGGCCTCCGAATTCCCCCAGGAATGTCTCAGTAAGTAGGGGTGTGTGTGTATGTGTGTGTGTGTGTGTGTGTGTGTGTGTGTGTGTGTGTGTGTGTGTGTAATGATTCCCATGAACAACTGTCAGTTTGGTATTTAAAGAACAAATGGACTTAGTACAATAAGTCATGCGTACTTGTTGATACACCTTTTCTATGGACAAGAATACGATTTCTGAGATCTCCAAGAAGAGATCGACCTGTCGAGGAATGCATTTCCAATTCTTCTCATTTAATTAAAAACCTGCACTGCTGTAGAGATTCAGTAGACGTTCTAGTTAGCAGCTTACTCAGACTACTTTGGTGTTCTGAGTTGAATCTACATGCATTTTACATAATAGGACATGCCATATTGTATGTATTGCCATTGCAGGTCACTTTTCTACAAAATGGTAAGCTTCCTCAAGGCAGGGATAGTTTTTATTCATCTTTGATTTTCCCAAACCAAGCAGTACCTGCACATAAGTACTCAATAAATGATTGTTAAATAATAACCTCACTCATTTCTGTAGGCTCTAAATCAGAGGAATGAAGGAATGGAGAGGTAGGGCTCAAAGATACCAAATAAAGTAAAGGACTTCGTTTCCATGCAGAGGGATATTTGCAAGACAGCAATAGTGCTCAGAATCAACTTGCTCATCAAGTCTCTTTGGTTTTAGGACTATCACAGGTAGGAGATGGGAATGACCTATATTCTGAGGCTATTTATTTTTTAAATTGATGTTTGGATATATTTATCTTTGGATATATTTTCCTTCCTTTTCTCCCTTCTTTCTTTCTTTCTATAGATTAGGTGTGGTGTAAGCTATTATACTTGAAGTAAAAATGTGCCTTACTTACCTTCGATACCTTATCTGTCCTTGGATTTATGGGTACTTTTGGCTAATCTCATATTTCGCGCTCTTTATGTTTTCACTGGCATCCTAAAATAACATAAATTGGAGAAAGCTGGTTTGGATATCTAAAATACTTTACTTGTGCAAATGAGCTGTGAATATGAAAATCCATTAGCTGCCTTGTTGCTTTTTCAGCTCTCAGTGATACTTTTATATCCTGGCTCCTTAGCCTTTGAATGCACTCCCTGGCTTCTTCCATGAGCAAATATTTAACGAAGCTGTCTTGTTAATATATAATATCGCCACACATACGTTGCACTAATATTTTAGATGATACTGTTTTTCATAAGGTGTTCAGTTGTGCCCACTCACCTTATAAAATGGCACTAAAAAACATCACGACCACTGATGCATTACAGAACCTTCATTCTGGACAGCATACTATCTAGAACACTTTCTATTAATACTAGAAATCTCTTGAAGAGGAAGCAGGACACAATAGAAATTCTTTTTATTTTAAATGTACTAGAAAAATATACTTCACTTGGAATATGATAGTAAAAAGACTAGGTGCCTCATCATTGTTTCTGAATTTCTGCAGAAATTCTGCATTCAGTTGTAAGAAAGAAAAGCCTCTTGTCTAATTTTCTACTACTAACAAAATACTCATTTTATTCTGAAATTTAGGGTTAAGCACTTGAATTTTTGTAGTGCCTCTTCTGTTTTGTTCAAGTGCCAAGTATTCACTCCTTCCAGGTTGTAAACAAAACATGGTTCAGAATGCCAGCTCTCTTTGCAGCACTAGAAAAAACGCTGTTGAATTTATAATAATTCTCGATAACCCCGTTCTTTTATTTTAGCATCAATTTCCCCTCCTCCGTTGTGATTTTTAATGGAGTCCTTATTGCTGATTTTTTTTTTCTTGACCTACTTTCTTTTCAAGAGCTTTCACATATAGCGTGTTTTCAGTGATGGTGATTTCTGTAGCGTGTAGGAGAAAGAGTCTCAAATCACGGCGAAACAGATTGGTTGGCTATCACTGATTGTAGAACGTTTTCGTGGTTTAAAAATTATCTGGTTACAACGTCCACAATTTCATAGTCTGACATCTTTTAAGCTATGCTTTTCATGAGTTTGCCCCGTCCTCCAGACTGAGGATTTGAACCTCACTCTGCTTTGATCCAATTGTTATTTTTCTTTGTTGCCTCCACCCCCTAGAGATGGTGTTTCCAGGGGAGAGGCGGTCTCGGGGCTGAAGAGGAGGAGAGTCGAGCGGGACTAGATCTGGTACCTCAGGCGCTAGATCCCTCCTCCCCCGCCTGGTGAGAAGTCAGGAACAATTTTGACAGTTCATAGTTTGGCTTTGGCTCTCACGCTTGTGGTCCATGGGTGGGTTTTGCTTTCTCCCTGTTCCCCTGCCTCTGGCCTGCCTGCAGGCCGACCGCAAATGCAGCCATTGCCCCAGCCCCGCCAGCGCTCTCCCCGCTCCGTCCTTTTGGGGAACCCGGGCGGACGTCTGTAGACGACTTCGGGGACTGGGGAAAGTCACGCCGGGATCCGGACGTTCGAGAGGGCAGCCCCTCCCCAGGCTTGTCCCCGCTTGGCGGCGGCCACGTGACCGACCACAGGCCTCCGCCGGCCCGCCCCTCTCGGCCGCGGCTGCCCACTTCCCGCCCGGGGTAAGTAAGCCGCGGTTTTCCGCCCCGCCCGGACCCCGCCCTCCTCCTTTCCCCTGCCCTGCACTTCCCTCGGGCTCCCTCGCGCCACTCGGCCCGCCCCCATCCTCCCCGCCGGCCCTTTGTACGTGCTCGGCGGCGTGCGAGCGCGCCCGGCACGTGACCCCGCCGAACGTGGCATTGTGTTATCACGTGACCCAGGTGCGTACGCGACGGAGCGGGGTGTGAAGATGGCGGACGAAGAGGCCGAGCAGGAGAGGTTGAGTGGCGGCGGAGGCGGCTGCGTCGCGGAGCTGCAGCGCCTGGGCGAGCGGCTCCAGGAGCTGGAGCGCCAGCTGCGGGAGAGCCGGGGACCGGCCGTGGACGCGGCCACGGAGTACTGTCAGCAGCTGTGCCAGGTGAGGGCGCCGCGGGTCCCCTCCCCCTTTCCCCCAGCCGGAGGGGAAGAGGGCGAGCGAGCGCCTGGCGGCCGAGCGGTGGTCGGCGCCGCCTTGGCATCGTCGGCGCCGCCGCCCGGGCGGGAGCGGGGAGGCCGCGGAGGGCGCCTTTGTGTGGCTGCCGCTGTGGCGGTTGTTGTCGGCAGCTCCCGGCTGGGGGAAGGGAGTTGTGGTCTGGGCGGAAAATCCCCCCTCCACTTCCCTTCCCCGAAGTCGGGACGGCGCGGCCCCCCAGGCGGAGTAGATGCTGACGGCGAGGACGGAGCCCTCTCCGCCGCAGGGAGCGGGTGAGGGGGAATGGAGGCCAGGCCCCCTTCTTCCTCCTCCTCTTATTGTGCACCGGGATTACCGCGCCCCCCGCCTCTGCGCCCGTTTCCCACTCCGACGGGCCTCCGCCCCCAGTGGGTTGATTCCTTCGCCTCCCCCTGCTTTCATCCGTCCCGCCCCCGGCCCCGTCCTCGCTGTCTCCGGGCCTTTGTTGTTCGAGTTTCGCCTTAGGACTGAAGGGGCCTTTGTTGATGTTCTGAGGAGCAGTCCCCGCCGACCCCTTCTAGCTGGGCGAGACGTTCCGGAGTTGGGGGCGCCGAGGTTGTCCCTTCCTGCCTTGTTTGCTTGGTGCAGCACTTCGATGGTAAAGGTTGCTCTCCTCGCTGGAGAGGAGCTGCCCTTGTCTGTGTATCCTAGGGTCGAATAGACGGCCCCTTGGGGCGGCTTTTCCAGTCCAGTTCTCTTTTGCTTTCACCCTTCGAGGAGTACGATTTCCTCTGCCTTTCCTCCCCCCGTCGTCCTACCCCGTTACTTGGAGCCTTCCCTCTTTGGCCTCCTGGTGGAACGGAGAGGACTGAGCTTCCTGTGGACCTGTGCTCAGGTCAGTTTCAGACCTGTGCTTCCTTTTCTTGCACAAGGACATTGCTTTCTAGTAACTGCGTTCTAACCTGGGTTTGGCATATTAACAATCCCGTTTGCTTGATAGAAGTCGGAGAATTTGGGTCTACATTTGGACTTGATTACAAACCTTCCAGTTACGTTTGAAATTTCAAGGTGCTACTGCTGGCTGTGGTGAAGATTTGGGTTAGATTGTCTTCTTGAGGAGGAAAAAGACACAATTTATACACGTCACATTTAGAGTTACCTTGTATCAATGTAGAGAAGTTGTTTTGGAAACATTGAATTTAAGGTCGAACAATGGTGGACCATTTTAGCATTTGAGAGTAGTTTACATTTTAACTTAATGTTAGCCTCCAAGTTCTGAAATCTTTCCTTTATAAGATTAGGGATACTTGATCCCATACAAGAATTTCTCCATTGCTGTATGCACATTATTGTCACTAATTATTTGGTGGTCCTGCGTTATCTTAAAAAAAAAAAAACCGCTGTGGGATCAAGTGGTGACTTGTCTAGGAGTATACGCAATGTGAAAGATACTCAAGGTAACAGGTCTGTTGAATACCTGTGACAAATTTAGAGATTCTGTCATTCCTTTGAATGCTAGTTTTAAAGAATTGTTGAATTTGCCAGTTTCACTACCCTGGCAGTACACACACAGTCTTAATTGGTCTTTCAGATATAAAGATTTATTTTAGAAATAAAAAAATAGTTCAATAAGATACCATAAAAGGAAGTCTTTCATTTATAGGTAAAGTCAGCTTTTTAATCAGTGAAAAGTATTAAAGTCTAGCTTTGCTGAAAGACGTTTTTCAGATAACACTGTCCTTTGATGGGTTTAATGCTAATTACTGTAAATACTCTTGGCCAGCAATATTTATAAGCAGGATTAATAATTCTGGAAAAATGGAATCTCATGCAGTTTGGCTTTTTTGAGGCTGTGAAACATCATAAAGTTATCACTTTAAAAATATTTTTAATGGATGAAACAGCATTATTTTTTTATCAGTATGAAAGTAATTTCCTGTGTTAGTTTTAAGTGATTAGTCTTAGAACACGTAGATTGTTTTCAGTGACCAGTGCTACATGAAACAGTAATAAAACAAATGCTGGGTTTGTGGATTTCAAAAATAATGAAATATTTCATGCACTGAAATCCGACAATAATTTCAGTACATTTAAAAGTGATCTCCGTTATTTGAACAGGTACAGAGTGTCTCTCATGTTTGATCCCCTCTAGAATATTTTCTCTTTTTTAAAAGTAACCTATTTGTTTTAGTGATCTTGTCAAATGGGGGGTAACTTGAAACATAATTGTTTCTTTAAAATTGTATCCTAGCCACTTCCTACTTAACGTTCTGATACGTGTTGAGCAAAGGAGTGGTTAACAATTATACAATTTATTGGAGCAATCTAACAACAGTGCTAGAAATACTAGGAGCTAGAAATTGTCTTGGTTTCTAACCTCGAGATGATTATTTAACTTTTTCTATCTAAGCATTTCCTGTGAACCTGGGATATTCACATGCTTGAAGAAGGCAAAAATGAATAAACATTTCTCAGAGTTAGTGGGCCTCAGAGTTAGTATTCCATAGTGTTGATGCTTAGTGCTTGTGTAATCTTCGTTGTTGCATTTATTTTTACAAATGAATTAGTTTATATTCTGAATTTTTACATCAGCAAAGAGTGAGTCTCTGGAGAATCTAGTGAAACCTACAAAAAAAGAAGTTGCTTAGTCGTCCTAGTTTATAGATTTTCTTTCTTTTTGAATGAGATAGGATAGTAACAGATTTCTTGAGTTCTGAGAAATAAAATAGAAATGAAAGACAGTAGGTTTTTCTTATTGTAAACAGTATTGTTTTGTTTCCTGGAAGCATGCCCCACTTTAACTTATTTGTGTGAACATTTGCTTACAGCTTAAGTGGGAGGAGGGGAAGGTGGTAGAGGATGGGCATATGGGAGTGCCTGTCAAAAATCTTAATTTCCTTACGTCTTTACAAGCTAGCTTTAATCTGGATAATGTAGTCAGTTTACTAATTTTCTTAAAATCAATTTAGAATAAGAAAATAGGATTACCAGAAATAATTTCTTGTGTTTGTTTCAAGATCATTACCATATATAAAAAATTGATTATAATTGGAACTTTTTGGACTGTTTATTGTATTAGACTGGGCCAGTATTCACTCACTCATTCAGCATTGTTATTGAATACCTACACTATGGGCCAGGTGACCATGACCATGGTCCCTGGCTTCAGGGAGCTTACAGTCTCTGGAGGAAGGTAGACAAATAATAGTAGTAAACTGTGGTTTGTGTCTTTTATTTCTGAAGTGAGTGCGGTACAATGGAAGTTATTTATTTGGGAATTTAAACAGAAGTATTCCAACAGAAGAAATGTTCCAAAAGGATTTTAAAATATTCATTCATTTAAAACATTAAGCCACTGTAGTAGTTGGAGAATGATTTGTTGGGGCATGATGTTTGTTGACAGCATTATATGTTGGGCTGGATGACTGGCTGAGTTGGGACTGTTAATGGTCACTTATCTTCTGGTGGCCAGTAATTGTTTATAAAAGTTGGGTTGTAGTTTTCGAAATATGTGTGTATATCGTACATATACACACTTGCTTCATACTCTAGTTCATATAAGCCGTACTTCTTAACTGGGCATAGTACTTTCTCCCCCTGCATTTCTCTCTTTGAGGGTATTTGGAAATATGTAGGGTTTGTTGTTTGGTCATTGCAATGACTGAGGATGTGATACCGGCATTTAGTGTCCATAGGCCATCTATGCTAAATTTTCTGAAGTGATCCGGACAGTCCTTACCCCCATTGTTATTTATCCCTCTGCCTAAAGACGCACAGTGCCCTTTTGAGAAGCACTGAACAGAATGAAAAAGAATATATTGTTTTTTTTAGTGATTATGTTCTTTTCATGTTAAGATAATAGTATTTTAAGAAATGTAGTTAATTTGGAACAGGTCCAGGTAAATGCTCTTCAACCATATTTACATTCACACTGAGCTTGAGAGGTCAAAAAAAATTCTACTTCCTTAGCAGATACTACAAGCAATTCCTAAAACAATTCACTTTTACTAGGTTAAAGAGGGTAGCAAATCCACCATACTTAATTGTCCTGATTAAAGCAGAGATTTGACCTTCTGATGTAATTGAAATTCTGTACTTTTAAGAAAGCATTTAATGCAGGGATTAGGTTTAGATGTTAGCAGGGGTTATAAGATACAGGAGACTCTAGTTGGATATAAACTAATAAGGTAAGCTTTTAAATATCACTTCAG